TTGCAGGAATCAATCAAAATGAACATTTTGTACAAAAGCGGCAAGCAGACTCACACAAACTATGGGTCACACAGACCAAAACAGACAACAGACGATGAACTAGAAGGAAAAGTAGCTGAATTTCAACAAACTGTTCAGTGGCTAGGAGATCAAACCATGGACCTGTAGCATCAAATAAATACTAAAATATGATTGGAATAGTACTGATTTCTGTATAACTCATCCATATAATGTAACCTTACATGATTGGATTTTAATTAGGAATCATTTGCAGGGATTTAAGGGACATTTTTCTTTAGATGTTAAATTAGCAACAACAACAAAAAAGAGGATATTTTTCAATACATTTAAGTACAGGTTAGAGGCATTCCCCAGCTCTGATAGGAATAAACTATTGGTAGGTGGATTGGAGGGACTTGACCCACATGTGCGTGGGTTCAAAGCATTTCACATGGGGTGGGGTTCTACCCTAACTGTGCTACTCTTGGTCATAATTTTTGTTCTTACAATCACATGATGTTTCTATAGAAAGTTTAGGCAGATTTTTAAAAAGGTCATTTAGCCTCAGCAGCCATTTTTAATATTATGCATCATGCAGATAAGGGAAACATGAGAAACTGCGGGAAGAATCCAACACTGTCTGAGTAAGTTCAGAGACCTGGACCCACATGGGAAAATATCTTAGGCTCTTGGGAGTCTTGGGCCCCACGGATGCTGCCACTCCAAGGGACTCTCAGTTGCATATGTATATTTCTGTGTTTGGGGCCTTGCCTGTTTCACTGCTTTCAACATGTTTTGCAGAAACGTATGCGTGCCTTCACCAGTCACACCTACTAGAGCTGTATATGGCTGGGTTCCAACCACTAAGACGCTCACCGGACCAAGCCAAGCCAAGCCAGCTATAGGTTTTTTGATGACCCTGTCCAGCAGAAAGCAGTTACAGGAGATGAGACTTTCGGCCCTATACGCTATTATCAAAAGGCAGGAATAATGGATTCAGCTAAGCATGAAGCCATTACCAGTGTCTCTTTCCCATGACTCTTTCCACCCCCACATCTTCCCAAACACACCAAAGGATTCCTGTGCATGGCAGAGTTTATGTCCCTCCCACCACATTCAAACTTGTCAATCAGGAACAAGCGCAGCCCCTCCCCCCACGCCCACACCCAGTTATTAACCACAACCCCAAGGGTATATTAGCATGTGATTTCTTTGTTTCATTCTCTTGCTTACACGCCTGTCTCTTAGCTTGCTCTTACTTGATCTTGCCCAGTCTCTAGCACTCTTACCTTGCTCCTGCCTGCTCTCTCCTTCCGCTACTTTGATAGCCCTGTGTCTCTGATTCCCCCTCACTCTGCTTCTTTGCTCTCCCATGCAGTCTGGAAAAACCCTGCGGTCGTGCTTCCCAATAAAGCTTGTTCATCTATACTCGCTTTCCGCTACAGTCTATGATTTCTATCACGTCTAGAAAGTTCACTGACACCAGCCTCCAATGACAGACAGACAAATGGCTCGGAGTGCAGCCCACTGGCTAGGATGCCTTATGGGAAAGGCAATTTAACTAGTGAAACACCACAGTCCCCCCACAGTCGACTGTATTTGCAAATGTTTGCTGTGAGTGACTGCCTGCCAGGCACACAGTTCAAAAACTTTAACTATAGGCATAAAAAGGCAATTGGGTAAGATAATACAGTTCAGAACTTTGTCACAATAACATCAAGCTCAAGTTGGAAAGTCTATACAGAATGTCTCTGATAAAATTGTGTCTTCATCTATTTCTCTTGTTGACTTCAGTATATAACCTACATTCCATGTGCATAATTCCCTCACAATTCAAAGGATCTCTCCGCATCACTACAGAATTGTCAAATATATTATCATGGATTTTTTTCACCTTTTTCCTTTCGCTGTTCTCTTCCTGAATACCTGATATGACTCATCCAGTTGCATTACAGCAGTCTCATTAATGCGCAAGAAGGACTTGGAAACCTGTTTCATAGAATTATATTCAGCCAAGAAATATACAAATAAACCTCATAATAACCCATTAAGGGTATTAGAAAATTTACAATGAAGCACAATTCCACATGTCAACTGATATATCAGATGAAAAAGCTGCCTGATTCTGTGTGCTGGCCCCAAACACCAGGTGCTCCTGGGCAGAAGTTCTAGGGCTGACCCAAAACTTTGGTCAAAAAAGGAAAACAAAAACACCCCAGATGGATCTATGGTTAGCTCTTATTCCAGAGGTAGATTTTACATAGTGGCTCCCAGTAGTTTTTCTGTTGTGATGCATATATATTTATAAAAATAGTCTCATTTTCTTCTCGTTTCTTATACTTTGTCCCCTTCTTTAAACATGAATCACACAATCTAGAACAGTGGTTCTCAGCCTTCCTAATGCTGCGACCCTTTAAAACAGTTCCTCATGTTGTAGTGACCCCCAACCATAAAATTATTTTTGTTGGTATTTCATAAATGTAATTTTGCTACTCTTAAGACTCATAATGTAAACATCTGATATACAGGATGTAGTTTCATTGTTACAAATTGAACATCATTAAAGCATAGTGATTAATCACAAAAACAATATGTAATTATATATTGTGAAATATTTATTTCTAATGACTAATAAATGAAATTTTGTCTTGAAGCATGGTGTAGCATGGGTACCAGTTTTCACTCCGGGTACCGTATGTGGGCGGATCTGCATGTGGGGAGACTCGCCTGGAGACAGATAGAGGAGTGGCGTTTCGGTTCCTAAGACCATTGGAAATAAGAATGTGTTTTCCAATGGTCTTAGGCAACCCCTGTGAAAGGGTTGTTCGATGCCCAAAGGGGTTGCGACCTGCAGGTTGAGAACTGCTGATCTAGAACATGGATACAGGAATGAGGAAAGATTACAGAGGCAATCTGGTTCCTCTGCTTGGTTAGAAATAGTGTCTAGGAGAGCCTTAGTGTAATAATTCCTGCAAAAGGGGGTCCTTCCTGCAAAAGGATCCCCCTTCACATAAGGGGATCCTCTGCTGATAAAATAGAAGCATTTTAAATATAACAAATATAAGCAATTGCTTTTTATGAAATATTTATCATGCACGGTGCTAAGTGCTTCATAAACACATATACGTAACCTCAATTAAACCTCAAAGTAGCACTTTGAGATAGGCACCATGTCCATTTGAACTGTGGGAAAAATCAACGGTTACAGAGGTAAGGCCACTTGCCTGAAGAACACACCTGTCACCTAACAGAGCTTGTAAGGACCAAACCCAGGCCTCACAATTTTTACTAAGAGGCTTTGGCTGTGACACCTGGATTCCCCAGTTTCTAGGACCAAAGCCCAAACCAAACTCAGGACAAATGAGCTGAATACAATTCATAGCAACTGTGGCAGTGACCTAATCTGGTGTCAATTTAAGGATTAAGAGTGTAGGGGTGGAGTCAATCTGGAGATAGCCAATGAGACTTCTGTGTGGGCATGGCCTTCTGAGAATTCTGGGAAATCTGGTACTTCTGCTTGGAGGCAGAAGACACTCTCTCTCGGAGAAGGCAGAGAGAGGCCCCTGCCAGCGCTGAGATGTTTCCAATGATATTGAATCCAAAGACTTTCTACCCACTGGCCTGTGATCTTCTGCATTCGGTGCCACTGCATGTGGTTCGTGAGTCTGAAGCGGACTTTATAGATTGATATCGGAAATATGGGCTAATATCAGACTTATGGACTTGATCTGGACTAGGCTGGGATGTTTTCTCAATGTTCAGTTGCTCTTGTATATAAATCTCTTTCTTATACACATATGTGTGTCTGTGGATTTGTTTCTCTACTCAACCCAGATTGACACAGCAACCATACAGAACAGATGTGAACTGCTTATTAGACTTTTCAAAAGAGCACTCAGTCTCATCTTTCTCCTGACCAGTGGCTGGTGGCTTTGAACTGTCAACCTTGCAGTTAGCAACCCAAGGTGCACCGCCACCCCCCAGCATTACTACGGTTCTTTGCCTCTAGGGAAGCCCTTATTATTTTTTGACAACAATCCGTGAAGAATCTGAGAGTGTTCTGGGCTTTCTTAAGCCTCTCTCAGCAGAAAGGAAGGGAATCTCTGAGACTCCTTGGGATGGAGGCTACCTGAGAAAAACAGAAAGTCAGATTCAGTCTCCCCAGCCTGGCAGCACTGCATCCTGAACTCAATGCCATCCACCTCCTCAGTCTCACCTCAATTCTTAATTCGCCAGCTTTACCCAGTTCTTCCATACCAAACTCCCAATGCCACCCTACCACACATATACTGTTCCTGCTGTGAGAAGCATCCCCACGATCAGCCCCAACCAATATTCTCTGCACCATTTTTAATCTGAAAAGCACATTTAAAATTTTTAATTTAAATAGTGACATTTTAAAAATTCACAGCTCCGAAATCAAGTTTGCAAATAATCACTTTTCTTAAGCAATGATCCTGCAGGAAAATGTTGTCAAGAATTTTTCGTAAAGAAAATTTACAGACTTTACACAGGTAGCAGGACTGATAGACCTGGGTGGAATTCAACAGAGAAGTGTCTTTCCACTTAGCCTCCTTTGCATTGAAACTGACAGCACCAAGAGTGGCTTATAACAATGTAAGCCTTCTCACTCATTCTTTCAGTGGGTTTTTATAGTATATGCAAGATCTCTGCTGAATTTGGGGAACTATACTAGATGCACCAACGAGTCCTGGTGTCATGGTGGCTGACCACCTGCTGAACAGAGAGGTCAGTACTTGGAAGTCACCACTCACTTTGCCAGAGATTCATGTGGTATCTGCTTCTGTAAAGACAAACACCATGGAAATCCAATGGGGCCGTTCCACCTTGCCTAGAGTCACTAATGGTCTCCATTTCAAAATAAGGCTGAGTAAAAGTAGCTGCCTCTCCAACTCATCTCTAGCCTTGAAACTTTATGGTAATGGGTTTAGTTCTTTGCCCCCCTTTTTTGCATAAAATGCAACATGAACAAAAAAGGATTACCCAGTGGCCTTGTATTTAAAGAATATCAGAGGCAAGTTGCAGTCCCATGCAATGCTGCGAAGGACTTTCAGGAATTTAAAAGTAATGTTGTCTATAAAACAAAAACCACAAACAATACATCCAACACCAAAGGGCTGAGTCAGAAGATTTCCACAAACAAGAAGCCTTTGAAAAAAATTTTAAAATACAGTGGATGCTGAGTTTCACTGTGCCCCACAGGCTTTTCAAGGGCTGTTTTCCAGAAGTTGATCAGCAGACCTTTCTTCTGAAACACCTCCGGGTAGGCTACAACCTGCAGCCTTTCAGTTAGCAGCCAAGTGGGTTAACTGCACCACCCAGGGTTTCCCGAAGCAAAATTATCTGAGACATTAAAGTTGTTCAGAGGTAAGCATGAGAGACAAATCTAAGTCAAGGGAACATTACTAGTTGGGCAGAAAGTTGGTGTTATCCCCACTGAGTACGCACCTACACGAAAAAGTATGCAAATGAAGTTAAGTCAGCAGCCAGCAGACCTGGCAGATGAACTTCTGAATTATCATCTACCTGAATTCAGCAGTTGCTGTTCCATCACGCCACAGCCAAGAACTTCCAGCCATTCTCCATGAAAGTTGATCTCCATTTCGAAGGACGGATGAGTAAAAGGAAAGTAGCAGTCTACCCATCTTATCTCCAGCCCTGAAAAAATGCCAAGCAAACAATTAGTGTTAAAAAGCAGCCTATAGTTTCTAGTGATCAAATTTGTCCCTCTCCTAATGACACCAATTATTGCACCCTAACTAAAACAAATAGCAAACAAATTGAAGTGCAGCACTTCAGGATGAGGCAATAAATCTTAAAACCTTGTGAAAACCTGAGCAAGTCTTCTCTAATAAGGAAAACAGTTTGTGCAGCTCTGAGACCCGTGGAAACCAGATCCACTTCCTAACCAATCTTTGCAATCACCTGGCAGAGGGGGAAACTAGGCTATCGTCATGGAAACCCAGAAATTCTTTTACTTTCTATAAGAGAAAATGACACCTAAGAGTTATCTCTACTGCCATCAGGAAGATCCCAACTCAAAGCAACCCTATAGGACAAGGAAAACCTATGTCTAAGGGTGTCTGAGACTATAGCTCTCAAAAAGCCTCGTAGTTCTGCCTTGGAGCTGCTGGTGGTTTTGAACTGCTGCCCTATGCCACCAGAGCTTACAGGAATTATATTTTTTACTATCCTCCTTCGAACACATATATCCCTACTATGACCAATTTAAGATAACATATACTTCCATAAGTATATATGTTAATTTTAAAAGTTAAATTTATAAAAACTAGAAGATCTATCAACTACATTTATGCAACATTTCAAAAAGTCTGAACACTTTTCCTATGGATGGATTATAAACATACGCACTTCTTTTTTTCTCTCCTTTTTTATTAAATACTTTTATTGGGGACTGTTACATCTCTTATCACAATCCATACATTCATCCAGCGTCTCAAGCACATTTGCACATATGCTGCCATCATCATTTTCACAGCATTCTCTTCCTACTAGAGCCCGATATCAGCTCCCCATTTCTTCCCCCTCCGTCTCCCAAACATGCTGACTTCTAAACCAGAAGAAAAACAAAAAACAAATGCTGAATCTCTCAACAAGTACTTATAAAGATCATGTTCTGAGTAATACCATCATTTAACAAATAAAAAGAAAAATTCAAAACCACCACAAACTCCAATGAGGCTAGGTCACAAAAAGCCGGGAAACTAGAAAAAATGGTCCGCCAACACACAGATGCCCCGCTGAGGAGCAGAGCTCTCCAGAAGTGAGCATTTTACAACATCCCGCACTAGGACAGCATTGTGTTTTCCCTCCCAATGCCATCTACACTTTGAATCCTGCAGAAATCAGCATGGAAACAGGAATAAACTTTGCTTCTGTTTTTGAGC